GTCTCTTGTTGATTTCACCTCCTCAGAGTCTCTTGTTGATTTCACCTCTGCAACTTCTCTTGTTGATTTCATCTCTGCAGAATCTCTTGTTGATTTCACCTCTGCAGAGTCTCTCCAATTATGCCCCCTTCTCTCCTCTGACCCTGCCACCACTGTGGTACAGATGCTCATCATCTCATGCCTAGACTATTGCAATAGCTGCTGATAGGTCTGTCTGCCTCAAGACTCTCCCTACTCCAATCCATTTTCAACTCAACCACTAACGTGATTTTCCTAAAGCCCAGGTCTGATCATGTCACGCCCTACTCAATAAACTCCATTGGCTCTCTATTGCCTCCAAGCTCAAATACAAAATTTTCTTCTTGGCATTCAAAGACCTTCTTAACCTAGCCCCCTCCTGCCTTTTCAACCTTCTCCCTGACACACACTGGCCTCCTGGGGGTTCCTTTTACATGAACCTGCATCTCCAGACTCTGGGTATTTTCTTTGGTTGTTGCCCCATGCCTGGAATGCTCTACCTCCTTGTCTCTGCCACCTGGCTTCCTTGGCTTCTTTTAGTTAAAATCCTGTCTTTTACAAGAAATCTTTCCCCATCCCCCTTACTGCTAATGCCTCCCTTCTGTTGATTATCTTCAATTTATCCCATCTGGAGCTTGGTTGCTCATAATTGTTTGTATGTCGTCCTCCCCATCAGACTGTGAGCTCCTTGAGGGCAGGGACTGTCTTTAATCTTTCTTTGTTTACCTAGCATTTAGCACAGTGTCACAGTGCTAAATAGTAAGTAGTGGGCACTTAATATATACTTGTTGACCTGACTTGAAAATAGAAAGCTATCCAAGGGTCTGTTTGCTCTCCAGGTAAACTCCTCTTGGCTAGACACAGAAGCAATCCAGGCACATCTTGTGCTGCCTGCCCTTTGCTGGGTGCCACAGAGGGCCTACCTATGATCACAGGATCATCGATTTAAAACTGGAAGGGACAACAGAAACCCTAGAATCCAACATCCTCTCTTTACAAGTAAGGAAGCCCAGAGTGATTAAATCACTTGCCCAAGGTTACACATCTAGTAAGGCCAAAGGCAGAATTTGAACCCAGGTCTTCCTGACTCCAAATGCAGTACCCAATGCAGTACCACTATGCCAAATTGATCTACAGGTCTAAGTATTTGAGTTAGATTTTGAGGAATTAAAAAATGGAACCAGGGAGAAGAAGGGCATTTTAGGCACAAAAATGAGCTTGAGCAAAGGCCTAGAGGCAGGGAAGCACAGGAAAAGATCTATTCCCAGTATATCCCATAGTCCAGATTGGCTAGAGCATAGAAAAAATAAGTGGAAAAGTATGAGAAAAGACTAGAAATATACAGTGAGGCCACAGCATAGGATCATAGAATTTCGTCCTTGAAGGGTCAGACCATCTTCCCCCAGTTATGACAGAAGACCACTGGGCCTTACCATCCTCCCTGCTGCAGCACCCTAATGAGACTTGCCTTCTGCCCTGTAGCAGAACCCTCCTATCCTGCGCTTTCTACCCCCAGTTACAGATGAAGACTTTTAAGAACAGGAAATGTCTCAATTTTCTCTTTGTATCCTTAGTATTTAGCACAATACATATTTTTCCATTTCAACTCCGTTCATTTTACAGAGGCTCAAAAGAAGGAAAATGATTTGTTCAATGTCATTGGGCCTTGTCCCTCTGATTCCACTAATACTTCAGATTGTACGGCATAGTCCCTTCAACATACTTTGTGTTTCGGTCGAACTGGACTAACTGCCAAGGGAGAGAGGGTAAAAGGAGGAACGCACTAGTGTCTAAAAGAAGGAAGAAGGGAGAAATTATTATTTCACTTAATCGTGGGGGGTGAGAAGACCATACAAACATGGAGAAATAGGTGGGGGAAGTGGGTGTTTAATGAACCTCATTCTTGCCTGAAATAAAAAATAAGGATTGAAAACATACACACAGATGCAACACCAACATATATACCAACCATCTCAACTAGGGGAAAAAATAAGATGGGGGAGATTAAGAGAGAGAATAATGTTGGAGAGGGAATACTCACAAACCTAATAAATACTCTCATCCTGCAGGGGGAAAGTAAAGGGGAGGAAGAAAAGAATAGACTCTAAAGGGGTGCATCAGATTGCCTCTTAAACAATTGGGGGAAAGCTAAACAAATTACTGTTTATGAATGGAATGGAATAGGAAATGAGCAAAGAGACAGTTTCAGAGAGTCCTGGATAGCATGACCTGATGCAGAATGCAGCGGCAGAACCAGGAGAACAGCTGATAAAAGGGCTGCAACTAGTTGTAAAGAAAAACAATTTTGCAACTTTGTACAACTTCAGAACTCTGATGGGGAGCACCTAAGTGGCACCACGGTAGCTAGAGCTCAGAGCATGGAGTCAGGAAGACTTGAGTTCAAATCCAGCCTTAGACACTCACTAGCTATGTGACCCTGGGCAAGTCACTTCACCTGCCTCAGGTTCTTCATCTGTAAAATGGGGATAATGATACCACCTACCTCCCATGGTTGTTGTGAGGATCAAGTAAGATAATATGTGTAGAGTGTTTAGCACAATGCCTGGTACTTAGTAAACAGTGTATTTTTAGTGTTCTTTTTCAATAATATCTGACTCTTGGGATTTTCTTGGCAAAGATACTGGAGTGGTTTGCCATTTCCTTCTCTAGCTCATTTTACAGATGAGGACACTGAGGCAAACAGAAGTTAAGTGCCCAGGGTCACACAGCTAGTAAGTGTCTGAGGCTGAATTTGAACTCAGGTCTTCCTGACTCCAGGCCCAGTACTCTATCTAGTGCACCACCTAACTGTCCAAATACAATATAAATGTTAGGTATTATTATTATTACCCAAACGCTGAGGCACAGGGTGACATTCAATTACTCATCCTTGTCTGGTAAACAGGTGGGTTAAAGGCATCCTTTATGTATAACATAAAGCCAAGGCCGTTTTCCCCATCAGCTGCTTGACTCTTTTGCGGATGGCATCTCTCAAGATAATGCTGTCAGGGGAAAGGCCTTAAGTCTTATCTCTGTCAAAACTAACACTGGACCCCTTTAAAATGAGCCCTGGTCCTTTTGCCTCCCCTTTCCTTTGCTATTTTAATTGAAAAATAGTCTGACTGTGTGAGTTTCAAAAAGTCAGGAGAGCAAGCATCTCAGCTTCCTGGAACCCAATCATTGGGGTTTTATAGTCAGCTCAGCTTTGATGCCCTAAGGAGAAAGAAATGACCTGCAGAATGACCTTTGGCTCCAGCCTAGCCGTAGCTGAGACAGAACTCATCTAGCAGCAATGCCATATTTAGATCAATCCATCAGTGTTTATTAAGCTTATGTGCTAG